GTGTTGCGTTTATATTTTTGTTCAGTGTAAATGCAGATGGTGTCATTTATTCTATAGCCATTACACTGTGCAATTGACACTAACGTCATAATAATAAGTTGAAGGAAAATACTTGTCTGCTGAAGAATATTCTAAGTGCCTTTGCTGAGAGAAACAAAATCAAATACACATAAGGGACCCTCGAAAAAACGACAAATCCAACCTTACCCACAATCCTGATCATTGCACTTTCGCTGCTAAACCTGGCCGTCACTGTGTTGTGAATTATGCACTTGTAAGTTCCGGAGTCGCTCACTGTAACCCTCTCTAGTTGAAGCAGCGGACCAGACTTATTCAGGTACATCCAATTAAACATCCACTGGAACATCGCTTGAGGGCTGGACTCCGCTGAGCATGACAGTGTGATGTTAGACCCTGTTTTGTACGTGGACCTCATCGGCATGATCGTCATTGATGTGTTATATGGACCATCTGATGAAGCAACAAGAGGAAAATTGTTTTACGGGTTGATATTCAGTTATTAGAGTTTTTAAAATACATACAGTAGGCCAATATACAGTAGGTAACTCACAGCTGATGTTCAGACGCACAGGGAGACTGATTTCATGGCCTAAACCATTGGACACATTGCACCTGAATGGCCCCTCATCATAGCGGGTCACCCCGACCATGGTGAGAGTGGCATTTCCATTGCTGAACTGTACTCCCCCACCGTCTGTGACCTCAGAGTTGCCTTTCAGCCAAACATAAGACAGGGACGAGCCGTTGAGCACAGAGCACGTAAGAACTGCTGTGTCATTGAACTCCACCAGGTTGATTGCATTTGCCCTCAGAGTCACACCTGAAATAGGCACTGCAGAAAAAGGGGAAAAAAAATTGTCAAGTCTTGTGGAAACGTGGAACTGCAGTGGACAAGCAATGTTGTGTCTTCTCTCAATAGCAGGCAGACATAGAAACAGGACTTGTATAATGAGCTGAAGTCTGATTCAAGCCTAAATTGGATGGCAATATTTACCTGTTGTTCTGATGGTTAGTGAGTGTACCACTTTGGCCCAGACTGAAATTATTACTATTGGATGGATTGCCAATAAACTTGGCAGAAATATTCATGTCTTCCTGAGGATAAATTGTTATCACTTTGATACCTTACCATTGTATCTAGTGCCATTGTCGGGTTAAATATTTTGTTTTATAGCTAAATATGATCAAAACTAATGAGATTCCCATTCCAACATATCCTCATACAATGGATATCTTATGAAAATGCACATACAACGGTTGATATCAAACAGTTTCGTGTCCAGTGAATTAGCCTCTTCACTGTTAAGGTTAGGTTTAGGAAAAGAATCATGGTTGGTTGTTGTCAAGTATTGTACTTAA